CAGCGGAAGTCCCTCAACACTCCGAGTTATTTAAAGCAGCTGGTCTGGTCGGTTCTTATTCCACACCTCGCTCTTCAATCTGCTATTGATTCAGTCTTTGCTGCAATGTGCTAGAAATTAATAGGCTCTTTCGTTGCTGTTAGAAGATGAATTTAGAGCTGGCCATTAATAAGTCCGTTGGGGGAATTGAAGTTTTGGATCTGAAATCTTCTATCTTCCTTCAGGAGTTTCAAGGGCTGTTTCACCCATGAAGCATCTGGGTTGTGGTGGACAACACACTGCTGTGGACATCACCGTGGGATGTCACAGAGAGTTCCTTGATGATTCTCAGTCCTCCAAGTCATGGTTGTCCCAAAAGTGGCTTTTTCAGGAGGCCACTGGACTTCCTTGATGTTTCTTTGGAGACGTTTCGCTACTCATCCAAGAAGCTTCTTCAGTTCTGGCTGGAAAAGTATCTATATTTTCTTTTTATGTACACTAAGAGCATTTGCACCAAGACAAATTCCTTGTGTGTATAATCACACTTGGCCAATAAAGAATTAATTATTCATTGGTAAAGCACTATGAAGCTATATATAAGTCTAAGTACTATTGCTCTTCCTTCCTTCCTTCCTTCCTTCCTTCCTTCCTTCCTTCCTTCCTTCCACCCTCCCCTCTCCTCCCCTTCCCTTCCCTTCCCTTCCTCCCTTCCTGCCATGGTGCAGTGGTTAGAATGCATCATTACAGTCTAAATGCCACACAGGGGCAACTCTGTAGGCTGTCCTGAGTCCCAGGCTTGGTTGAGCCTTGCTGGATGACGATGTAATGAAAGGGCTTTGGGCAATTCCTATTATATAACTCTACCTGGAGTAGATCTTTGTTATGTAAAATAGGCTGGTCCAGGCCAGAGTAACGGCCCATTAGCAAAGGTGTGTGTGAGAGTTTCTGCCTCTTTTGAGTTCCTTCTTTTTAGGGGAAATATTCTGCCTTTTTAGAAGAGCCTAAAATATTCCATTTTCCTAGGAGAAGTGCGGGCGTTAACCCAAACAAGACGAACCGAGGTAGATGCAAGATCAACCACGTTGATCAATCCTGATCCACTTTGCGATCGCTGAGTCAAGGATTTACCTGTTCAATCGGGGATTGAACAGGTGGGACTAAAGTGCTTATTTTGGGATCAGCGCTCCTGCTCTTCCAGGTTTCCCCCTTTCAAAAGCCTGAAATAATGGCCCCTTTTTTTAGCAAATTAAAGAGAGTTTGAAGGCCTACGGTGTGGGGGCTGCTCATTCCCTTCTGTGGCCTCAGCCGTTGTGCTGATCTGCAAAATCAAATGCAACCCTGTGGGAACACACACACACACACATACACCCCGCCCCGAGATTTCTTCTCCCAGGACTAGTCTGATTCAGCTCAACCAAAGCTTCTTCGGGCTTCCTGGCCATATATGGTCAACATGTTTCATGTGAGGAATGTCAGCGAATCAGGTGAGGTGTCAGTCAAAGGGAACCTCGCTGAGCAGAAAAAAAAAAACCACGGGAAGATGACTGTGCAGTCGAAGAACTGGGCCAGTGAGAGTGAAGCAGTGGCAAAGGTTGCCTTTTATGGTTAAAAAAGGGGAAAAAAATTAGTAATTTTTTTTTTTTAAAAAGCTGTCACTGCCATCCAAATCTACCCTTAAGTCAAATTTAGGCAGCGGTGGCCAGATGACTTAATAAGCCAGAGGTAGAAGTGTCCGATGCGTAGGGTTTGGATTGCTGCATTCATTTGTCTCAGGTGTGCAATGCAATTCTTTTTTTCCCTTATAAGGAAGTGTTTTTCGCCCTCTTAAATAATGTACATAGATAGTCCTTGATTTATAACCAGTATGCAGCATGCCAGTTAGGGTCATAGCAATAGCCCTTTGACTTATATACCACTTCACAGTGCTTTACAGCCCTCTCTTAAGTGGTTTACAGAGTCAGCCTCTTTCCCCCAACAATCTGGGTCCTCATTTTACCCACCTTGGAAGGAGGGAAGGCTGACTCAATCGGAATTGAATTTGTGGGAATTGGCAGAATTAATCTGTAATGATGCATTCTCACCAGTGCACCATGGAAGGAAGGGAGGGAGGGAGGAAGGAAGGAAGGAAGAAAGGAAGGAAGGGCAATAGCACTTAGACTTATATACCGCTTCATAGTGCTTTATGAATGAATAATGAATTCTTTATTGGCCAAGTGTGATTATACACACAAAGAATTTGTCTTGATGCAAATGCTCTCAGCGTACATAAAAACAAAAGATACTTTCCAGCCCCCTCTAAGCTGTTTACAGAGTCAGCCTCTTTCCGCCAACAATCTGGGTCCTCATTTTTACCCACCTCGGAAGGACGGAAGGCTGAGTCAACCTTGAGCCTGGTGAAATTCGAACTGCCAAATTGCAGTCAGCCGGCAGTCAGCAGAAGGAGCTTGCAGTACTGCACTCTCACCACTGTGCCACTGTGCCTCATAAGTCACGACTGCGGCCGATCAATGGAATGCATGACCTTGTTCATTGCAATATGAAGTTATAGGGAGTTTGCATCCAGGGGTGGGATTCCAATGTTTTAACCACCAGTTCTGTGGGTGTGGCTAGGTGGGCGTGGTCATGTGACTGGGTGGGCGTGGCTTTTTTTGCAGCACCCACCCCCTCCGCAGTCTGTTTCCTGCCTTCCTGGGCCTCAGGGAAGCCTCCTGGGGGAAACAGTCAGACAGCTAGGGGGATCTCGGCACCGCTGATCATCGAGAGGGGAAAAAACGAAACTTCTTAAGGAGTGAGTGGGCGGGGGGGAAATGCAGTCAGCAATGTTGGGCATGCGCGATAAGGACTGACTGGGCAGGGAGGGGAGGGGCGGGGTGGGGCGGAGAGGGGCAGGGCCAGCTAGGGGCACAATTTGCCAGTTCTCCAAACTGTGCAGAATCGTAACAACCGGTTCTATAGAACCGGTCCAAACCGGTACAATCCCACCTGTTTGCATCTCCTCGTCTGACCGCTCGCTCATGCTGTTGTCATTGGTGGTTAGTTCCCTCCCGGTTTGTCCTACGTAGTCGCAGGGAATCCGATAAATCTGGATATCTGATAACCTGGTTTGTATTTCAGCTGCAGATGTAGGCCGTGCTCAGCTAACTTAGTTCATCACATCTCTTCCACTCCCCCGAAAGAGGTGGAAAAATTAGGTTCAGGACAAAAAAAAAACAACCTCAGCCAGTTCTGATCTCACTTACCCCCGCCCCCCCAAGTCTGATTCTCCCCACCCAACTCAAGCTGTACTTTGAAGTCGACTCAAATGGGATTGTGATGTAAACCCAGTGCGATTTTGTTCTACTTGGCATCAATTGCATCGTGCAGAAACACCGCCCGGATCTCTGTATCATTGCACAACAGTGAAAAAATGGGGAAGGCTATGATTTGAACCGCCGGAACGGCTTATTCAAGGCGATCAATGTGGAACTCAGAGGGGAAACAGTGCAATGGCCCTTGTCTGTTGCTCAATTCTCCTTTCATCCCTTCTGAACAGCTGGGCCCACAATGAAAAGGCTCGTTTTTTCTTCTGGAACGCGTTGTGCGTTAATAAACATCCCACTGCCATCGTGTGGGCATCGGCCCAAAAGGCACAAGGCGGCTGGCACCATCCTGGGTACTTTTATTCACGCCCAGCCAAGCTGCCACTCTGCCGCATGGGAGGTTTGCTGAAGGCAGGGGAGGATGATCTGGAAAAGGAAACAGCCAATGGCAACGATGGGCTGCCTGCTAAAAGAAAGCCAGGTCATGCACACACTTGAAAGTAAATCAGGAAGCTTGTAATTGTGGAATCTGTCTGGCAAGAACAAAGAATTCTTACCCACAGGAAATATGCATGTGTAAATCTTGTAACAATCCTGGCTAATTAGAAAGCTGATAAAAGTAATATGAGTTAGACAACTTGCAGCTAAAAGTTAAGAATAGAGATGGTCTGCAGCAAATCAAATGTGTGTTAGATAACTCCTAGGGCATTCATTAGCCAAGACTTAGCTATAGGGACAGCTAGAGACCAATAGAACAAATTGTAGAATTATTACTAAAATGTTTATTAGATGACATTTCTTATCATCTCGCTTTGTCCCACCTTCTCTAGTGAAACTGTATAAAACTTATTCAATCCTTTATTCTGGGCTATTGGCATTTTGACCAGGAGTTCCTTTTCCTTGGAGTACTCCAATAAAAAGCAATCAGAAAACCTGCACTTCATGTCTGGCGTCCATCATTGGCTTTGGCACCAGGCTAAGACCCGAATTGGGAATAACAACAAAGTCTAATCTTTCCATTTTGAAGGCCTCGTATAGTTTTGCATCAGTAGTTCAACTAGCTGGAAGAGTGTCTTTAAGATGCACAGTTTGTTTTTTTGCAAACCAGTTCTCTTAATGGCATGCATTATTGTAGAAACATAAAATTGGGCATGATTCCGGCGGACAGGCACAGAAATAAAATCTCCAGGAAAAATAAAATAAATAAAATTATCTGCCTTAATCCCTACACCTGCTAAATTGTAATACTAAAAAAAAAAAATTAAAATGCTTCCTCTGGGCAGAAACAGGATTCGAACTAGCGACTTCAAGACGCCTTTTTTGAGGCTTTTGCCCGTCTCGCCCCTAGGAGGGGTGGTTACGAAAGCTGAAAAGACGCTCTTTCCCGCAAGAGGGCGCTCGCTTCGGAACGCATCTCCTCAAAGCTCCACACCATGGAGCACAAAAATCTAGAAAGTCAGCCCCTTCGCACTTCCGGCATGACTGCACAAACTCCCAGGAGGGTTTCTTACCACTGAGCTGCCGATGCCTAGAATGGCACTGATGCAGCATAGAAATTCCGCTTTTTGAGGCCCTTTAAAGACTTATAAATGACGGAGGCAGTGACGTAACGTTTATTCTCTCCCCCCTCCGCTCCCATTGGCTGAGTGCTCTGTTACTCAAGCGGGCCCAGGGGAGGCGCCGCAAGCCGGCGGCTTCTCGGAGCTGAGAGCGGCGGGGCGAGGGGGCGGAGCCTTGGAACGGCGAGGCCGCTGAGGGAAATCGAGCGGCGGGGACTCCTCCGGGCCTCCGGCACCGTGCCTACAAAGCGAGGCGGCGGGCTGCCGCGAACATTCGGCCTTGACGGAAGGGGAGGAGTCCGCCCGGGACCGCCTTTATTCATGCGAAGCGCGAGGCATGGTGGGTGGCCCTCATTGATATTCATGAGCCTCATGAATATTAATACATCATGAATATAAAGGGAGGAGCTTTGGGGTTTTTTTTTTTTCTTTCTTTCTTTCTTTCTAGCTTCCTTCCTTGTCCAAGTTCTCCAGCTGGGTTAGACCAAATAGGTATGTTTTCTCTGCATTTTTAAAAGAATAAATAAAAAAGAAGATTCCATCTCTTTTTTTTTCTTTTTCTTTGCACAACAACTTTGCAAAGTAGGCCGGCTTGCATTCGTTGCCCAAGTCCTGGGCAGCTCACTGGTTTTTGTTTTTTTTCCCTGCCTCTCCTTGCACTTTGGGCTGTTTGCTTAAGGCACTCCTTGCCTCCCCTGACTTTCTCTCCCTTTGCTTTCTTTTTTTGGCAGATTTTATTTATTTGCTAAATTTGTCTCCCTACGGGGCTACTCTGGTCTGCGATAAAGCAGTGAAAAATGATTTAAAACGTGTAAACATAACATTTTTCTATTTGTTTGTTTGTTTATAAATAAGTTTTTCTTTTTTGCAGGAAAGCTGGGTTTGGTTTGTGGGAGCCAAAGGTTTGGAGGCGTTGGGCAGCCCTGTTCCTCTTAAAAATGTTTTTGTGTGTAGTTGTTAACGTATCATTTTTATTATATTTATGATATAAGGATGTGGCCTTAATAGTCCCGAGTTCAAATGCCAGCTTTGCCCAAATACTAAATATATTTAGTATTTAGTATTTTAGTATTTAGTATTTTTAGTATTGAAGCTTAGCAAAGATCTCAAGCCAAATAATTTATATTTATTTTATATATATATATGGCGGCTCAGTTCATCAAAGGCAAAGAGAAGCTGGACTCTGCAGCTCTCAAAAACCAGGGTCTTTTAATGTGTATTTATGTGCATATAGGTATAGATAAGATACAAACAGAATGATAGATAGCCAGGTAATTGTTAAACGAATTGCATCTGGTTTTATGATTTTTTTTTGGCCACGGTTTAAGTGAATCACTCCAGTTTTTAAATGACTTGGGCCACCATTAAGTGAATCCAGTTTTCCCCATTGTCCTTGCTTGTTGGAAGATGCGTGCAGAAGCTGCAAATCACGTGACCCCCCCAGTGGTGGGATTCCAATAATTTTAACAACCGGTTCTCTGCCCTAATGATTTCTTCCAACAACCAATTCATCAAACGGCTCAGAAAGTTAACTGGTTCTCCCAAACTGGTGCGAACTGGCCGAATCCCCATCACTGCGTGGTCCTCTGGGATGCTGCAACCATCATTGGGATCCACCCCCCTTAAAAGTTGCCAAGTTTAAAAACTTCTGTTTTCTCTGCCTCCCAGGTGCTAGGTTCCAGATTTCAGTTCCACATCTGTTAGGAAATTGGTGCAGCCACCCAGGAGAAGCGTAAATAGCTTGAACACCAGCAAACGTTATTTATATATATTGCCTAAAATCAGAACGCTAAACCTGGTATCTTACGATGAGTTTAGAAAGGCTGTTTTTTTCCCCCCTTTTCTTTAACCAGGTTCCTGCTCCATGAACATCGGTCTACCACCACCGTCCAAGACACGCTTGTTTGACGAGATGAGAAAATAAAGGATCCCGTATTTCATCCGTTAAGATTCCTGCACATTCTGGGCAAACGTTGACGGGAGTCACATCCCATCAAGAAGAAGAAGAAGAAGAAAAAGCCATTACTTTGGTGGAAACCCTTATTTATAAAAACAGGTAAATGCCTTCTTGTTTCTGGAAAGCTGTCAGAAAATTGGTTTCATTGTGCTAAGCCGAAGTAGGCAGCATTCATTGTGCATGATATATTATTATGACTCCTGATATTTCCTGTGTGGTTTTTAAAAAAAAAAATGTTTTGGGGCTGCTAAATAATTCATTTTTGGGAGGCTTTGATGGTTTAGAATCTGTATATCTGTCGCTGGAACTTGTTGAATTTGATAACAAAACAAACTAACTCATGTTTCATGCTTGTTTTTTCCCCCCCCTTCTTTTCTTCCCCCGGTCTTTTACTCTGAGTTATGTATGAGACAGAAAAAAAAAGAATAAATCCTTTCTTTTCTCCCTAAATGGGAAAAAGGAGACTCACAAGAGAGTGGTATAGTGATGCCCGAGTGTGTAGCAAAAGTTTTCTGGTCTCCATGAAAGTTAAGGGCAGCCATTTCAAAAGGAGGGTTTTATTCAGAAGAGGAGTGGGCAATTGCCATCTCTTTATGACCTGGGGGCTTTAACGCCAGCCATGCTGGCTCAAGGAATTCTGGGAGTTGAAGTCCACAGGTCATAAAGGGGCCATAGTGGCTCATCCCTGATGCAGAATACAGTGTTGTGGTTGACCAGCAGCCGTTGCAAATGGCGGACAGTGAGGAAGTCAGGGAGTCTGTACAGGACGTGGACGAGGGTCCTGCATCCGATGCAGGGATGGGGCCAGGACCTCCTGGAAGTGGGGTGCTGACTCGGGAGCCTTTGGAGTCTGGCAGCAGGAAGGCAGAGGAACAAGGAGAGCCTGTTTCCCGTGTGCGTATGCACAGAGCTGCTGGAAGGCGAGAGCAACTGAAACGAAAGGGGTGACTTGGGAGTAAGGCTGGGAGGTGATTGCCCCTCCCCTAAGGGATAAAGGAAGTGCAAAGGTAGAGAAATCTTTGCAGGAAGCAAAGTCGTTCACTCTGTTTGGATTAAATCTTGTGTGGACTTTGTATTCCGTTTGGCTTTATACGGTTAATTTGGTAACGGTCCTAGGTGACTTTTCCCAGTGCCGTTGTAACTCTATAAATGGTCACTAAAGGAACTGTTGGATGTTGAGGACTATCTCTAATTCCCTTTTGACAAACAGCAGATAGGTGCAGAGTCCTGAGGTCAAATAATCACCATTTATGACAAGAGGTCTCCAAACTTGGCCATTTTAAGACTGGTGGACTGCTGGTTTATGACCTTCTCCGCTTCCAGCAAGCAAGGCTCTGCATTCATTCAACAGCCGTGTCATTCACTTAACAGCTTCAATAATTCACTTAACAGGCTGTAAAAATTGCATGCAGCTCACTGAACAACCTCCTTGCTTTGCCACAGATGTTCTGGTCCCAATTTTGGTTGCAAGTCGAGGACCACCCGTCACAGAACCAGATCTTTAACCTTTTCTGTTTGTGTGGCTTTCTGACGCTTGTCCGCGTTCGCAGAGAACAAGCTTTCGGGAAGCCTTTTGTAACATCCTTTTCCTCCGATTTCTCCTTCGGCCCTTTGAGGTGCTTCAGGTCAGGGAAATGGGTTGCACAAGGGCTCCGTGCGGTTGTGGTTGTGGCTGCAGGCTTTAATAACAACAGGGTCATATAACGTAACAGAATAACAGGCTTGGGAGGGACTTTGGAGGTCTTCTAGTCCAGCCCCCTTCTCCAGCAGGAGACCCTATGTAGCATTTCAGACAAATGGCTGTCCAGTCCCTTCTTTAAAAAACCCAGTGATAGGGAAGGGGAGAAGGGGAAAGGAAAGGAGGAAGAATGAAAGTAGGAAAGAAGAAAAGGAAATAAATAAAAAGAGGGTGGGAGGAATGAAAGGAAAGAAGGAAGGGAAAGGAAGAAAGGAAAGGAGGAAGAATGAAGATAGGAAAGAAGAAAAGGAAATAAGTAAAAAGAGGGGGGAGGGAGGAAAGGAAAGAAGGAAGGGAAGGGAAGGGAGAGGAAAGGAGGAAGAATGAAGATAGGAAAGAAGAAAAGAAAATAAATAAAAAGAGAGGGAGGAAAAGAAGGAAAGGAAAGGAAGAATAACAGAGTTGGAAGGGACCTTGGAGATCTTCTAGTCCAACCTCCAGCTCAAACAGAAAACCCGACATCACTTCAGACAAATGGTTATCCAATCTCTTCTTAAAAATTTCCAGTGTTGGAGCATTTACAACCTCTGGAGACAAGTTGTTCCACTGATTAATTGTCCTCAGTGTGAGGAAATTTCTCCTTAGTTCTAGGTTGCTTCTCTCCTTGATGAGTTTCCACCCGTTGCTTCTTGTCCTGCCTTCAAGGTGCTTTGGAGAAAAAGTTGACCTCTTTTCTTGTGGCAGCCCTTCAGATATTGAACCGCTGCTCTATATCGTGTCATCCTGAGTCCTTCTTTTCATTGGAAAGCCTGGCCTTGCTTCTCTCCCCCCTTCCCTTCCCCTCCTCGGGGCAGAGCCATCTCAAGAGTTTTCTTCTTTGACTTCCTCCTCCCTGGGCGGACTCAGCTGGAGTTGACCTAATGGCTACTGAATACCTTTCCTCAAGGCCGCCTGTCTCCGTGTCCCTCTGCAGCCTTCTCCTTTCTTCCTCTGCTTATTCCCCCACCCACCCACCCCGTGTCCTCGCAAGGCTGAGTCCCTCCGAATTTGCTGACATAAGCTTCCTTGCCTCTCTCCTTATTTTAATTTAATTTTAATTTTCTGATCCCTCCCAGGATTTCATCCCCCGGCCGAAGGAAAACAAAATGGGCAACGTGGAAAGCAACGGCTCTTACCAGAAACACCTTTCCAGGTTTCTTCCCGATGAGCTGGCGGACATCGAGGGCGTTTTCAGCGCCTTACGTGGAGCGGACGAGGACGTCGCCGCGAAGATGGGGAAGAAGGCGCAGGCTGGGGTGACCCTGGAAGCCCTCAAGGTGAGTAAGCAACGGGCAGGCGGCTTTCCTTGGGGTTGTAAGCCAGCGGGCCTGGGGAACCCAGAGCGGGACGGAGCCCATCAAATGGACCGCGTGATCTGCTGTCGCCGGGGCAGGGCGGGGTGGGGGTGGGGGTAAGTGGGAGTTGAGGGGTGATTTTTTTTTATTTTTATTTTTTTTCCAGATTTTGTTCTATTGTACTTGAATAATTTGAGTCTTTTTGTTAGTTTTTATTTTGTGTGTGTGTGTGTGTGTGTGTTTGTTCTAAATATGGTTTTACATTCTGTAAGCCGCCTCGAGGCGTCATGAGCAAATAGGCGGCAATATAAGCCCAACAAATAAATAAATTAATTAATAAACCCAATAAATAAATAAATCCAATAAATAAGTAAATTTATTATTGTTGTTATTATTATTGTATTATTTATTTATTATGATTAAATTTATTATTTATTATTATTATTTTCCTTGCCTTCATTATCTTATAAGTGACTCAAGGCAGCGAAATTCACATAATACTCCTTACTCTTCCTCAGAGGTGCTGTTCTAAAGTTTTGCTTTCTGCGGATAGGGTAAGCCACTCCTTATGGGTGGTCCCTGACTTATGACCGCAAATTTCTGCTGCTGAGCGAGGTATCCATTAAGTGATTTTTTCCCCCCTTTTACCACGTCTCTTGATGCCACCGTTTTAAGTGATTCGCTGCAGCCGTCTTAAGTTTGTAACCCAGTCGTTAAGTGAATCTGGATTTCCTCATCAGGAGAATGCAAAAGGGGATCACATGACAACCCCCCCCTCGAGGGGGACCCTGCGACTGTCATAAATGTGGCCTAATGCTTCAATGCTGATCCCGTAACCACGGAGAGGCTGTGAATAAGGTCATAAGTCGCTTTTTTCGGTGCCTTTGTAACTTCGAATGGTCAGTAAACAATCCATTGTAAGTTGAAGGGTGAAATGAATGATGTGTCTTGGAGTTGGCTGGCTGTCAAGGCGCCAACAAATCCACCCCCCACTCAAATCATGAGTTAAAAAAAAACCCGATTTATGAGGAGTGACCATGTCAGCGTTACCTGAGTGCAGCCGACTCTGAGACACATCATGCATTTCCCCCTTGACCCTGATCTTCTCCTCACCCCTTGGATGTATCTTCTCCAGTGGGACACCTCCATAGCCAAGTGTCATCAATCATGCTCTCCAGTAATAATCTTGCGTGCCAACAGCTTCGGCTGCCTCGCATTTATCTGAAGCATTTAAGGAATGTGCTGCTTTCTCCCACTCCCTTTCTGCTGGCAACTAAAAAGACCAAAGGAGTATTTTTTTAGTTGACACAAGGACCAGGTGTACTTTTCTTGAGTTCTTTGGTCTCCTTTCCTAGGCCTACGTCAAGGATGCCCTGCCTCCATCAATGGTGACGAGACTGTACAATGGGATGAGAAGCATCCAGGAGACCCATAATTCCCAGGAGGCCATCCCCTGGGTATCAAAGGAGCAATTTGTGGTGTTTGCGTCCACCCTCTTCAAGGGCAACGCCCAGGAAAAAAGTGGGGTTGTCTTGAAGATGGTCTCAGGTGCTCAGAAGACGGTGAAAGGAAGCCAAGTCCTAGAGGTAAGCAGACCAACCTCTCGTTTGCCTTCAGGGGGAAAGGTGAGGTCTATTTATTTAGCACACAGCTTCTCTCACGCGGTCACTGCTACGCAACCCTAGTAAAACGCCACAGAGACACAAATACGCCTTTCAATAAAGCATCAGCAAACCTAGAGTTTATATAAAGCAGGCGAAAATATAATTCTTCCTCTTCTTGTGCCCTATCCGTCATTGGACATTGGCGATCCTGTTGGCGATCCTATTTTTACCAACAGCCACACGAAAAAATGCTGTTGAGTTTTGTCCAAACGTGTCCCTTAGATTTTGAAGCCACGATGTTCTTCTTTGCCTTCAATCTTTCCCTGGAGGATTAAGTGAAATAGGGTGTGTTTTTCCGGGTGTTGTGTTGTGGTTCGCCGGCAGTAGGTGTGGACGTCTGAGGTCTCGGAGAGCGAGGACTCAGATGAGGGGCCTGCGTGTGATGCAGGACTATCAGGGAATGGGGTGCTGCCTTCGGAGATTGTGCGGGCTGGCAGCAGCAATGAAGAGGCCCCCGAGGAGCCTGTGCCAAGTGCGCATGCGCACAGGACTGCTCGTAGGAAAGAGCAGCTGCAGCAGCACACGTGACTCGGGAGTAAGGCTGCAAGGTAATGGCCCCTCCCTTAAGAGAGAAAAGCCAGCTGAGAAACCGGAGTTCTTTGCAGGAAGCAAATAAGTTTTTGCACTCAAGCCTGGTGGACTTTCGGACTCTCTTAGTTTGTGTTTGGAGACTCTTTGTGTTTGAAATAGTTCTTGGGAACTTTATCTAGTGTTCTTAGCAGCCTTTCACAACCTTGGCCAACAGCCTTTTAACCAAGAAGGAACGGAATTCGTAAAGAATCCTTGAAAGGTTTTGCTGTTACCTCCATTTGGTGTTTGTTTTCTTAGAACAAGGTTTGGGTCAGAAGATGTCCCATCCCATGTTCGATATATTCTGACTTTCATAACTTTTTTAATGGTTTTGATGATTTCCCTTGGCGGCTTTCCCAGGCAGCTTATCTAACCTCCTCATTTTTGATTTTGTCAAGCCAGCTTATACCTAACAGCTGCCTGTAAAGCCACACTTCAAATACTAAAATAAGGTTAAAATATTAAAGTTAAAAACACAATAAAGTCACCAAGGTCTTTTCAGATAAGCACTGCTCGGTCCTTTATGTTGTTTCTAGAAGCAAGATCACCCAGGACCATTTAAAAACCCCTTGTTAACTCTTTGAAGTTTGCAGGGGATCTGATCAGCTCCGTGATTCACGTGCTGAGCTACAGGAAGCTGCTGAAAGGGTGGAAATTAAAGAAGCTGAATAATTCAGTCGCTAGGATCAAAGCCTTGGCTACCCAGCTGGTCTCTGAATTGAAGTCTGAAGGTGAGCTTGCGAGCGCTTGTGGTATTATATATTATATATATATATATATATTTGGTTAAGGCGGACTCCCATCCACATGTACTTTTAACCCAGTTCTGGAATTTTGGTGGCAGCACACCCCCTTTCTATTTCCTGCGGTATTCAGGAAATATTTTGTCGATGTTTTAAGTCCTTTTGATCGGTTTCTTGCAAAAAAAGCACCCCCCAAAACAAAACAAAACACCCATAGGAACGAATAACTGGGATGGGTTTACTTTAGGACTGCTGCGTTCATTTTACGACTTTACAAAGAAAAAGTGTAAAATTGTGTCAGTCACGGGGAGGCCTCAGTTTACAACGGTCATGACTTAACGATGAAAATTCCAGGCTCCATTCCACAGAGAGAATAGAACAACAGAGTGGGAAGGGACTTTGGAGGTCTTCTAGTCCAACCCCCTGCTTAGGCAGGAAACCCCATACTACTTCAGACAAAGGGTTATCCAACATCTTCTTAAAAACATGCAGTGTTCACAACTTCTGGAGGCGAGTTGTTCCACTGTACTCACTGTCAGAAAGTTTCTCCTTAGTTCTAGGTTGCTTCTTTCCTTGTGTAGTTTGCACCCATGGCTTCTCGTCCTGCCTTCAGGGGTTCTGGAGAATAGCTTGACTGCCTCTTCTTTGTGGCAGCCCCTCAGATCCATTATGGTCATATGTTGAGGATTACCTGTAAGAATCCACTCTGAGGCAGGGAGATGTTACCTTAGGGTTAGGGGAATTCTGGGAGTTGAAGTCCACTCCTCTGATGTAGAGAAAGCTTGATATTTGTTATGCGTGGTGTAACACCCTCTCTCTTGCTTCAGAGGGGAAGAAGATGGAGGGAGCCTCTGCCCTGGATACCACCTGTGACCAAAACAGCATGGAGGATTGGCTTTTCCGAGTCCCACAGATCTCCACCTTCCTCAAGGTGGTGCTTCAACAGGGCCTGCTTCTCCTGCGGCCTCTCTCCGACGAAGCCAACGAGACCCTCTGCCTCCTGCCGGAATGCAGAGGCCTGCAAGGGACGGCCCTTGTCAGCCTGCTCGACCTCGCCTCCATCACCTACCTCAATTCCCACCTGCCTTCTGAGCTTCGGGACAAGTGGCAGCTGCTTTTCGCCTCCCGGATTCACGGCGAGAGCTTTACTCAGCTGTGCGGACATATTGTCAGCAAGGGGCCCTGCCTCTTGGTCCTGAAGGACACCGATGGCTACATCTTTGGCGGGTTTTCCTCTTGCTCCTGGGAGGTGAAGCCTCAGTTTCAAGGTGAGGTCCTTGAAGTTTCAAGGTGAGGTGAAGAAAGGTGCGCCCCCCCCCACCCCCCAGTCTGCAGAATTGTGCACAGATTAGACCAGGGGTCTGCAACCTTAAACTCTCCAAGAGCCATTTAGACCAGTTTCCCACGGAAAAGAAAACACCGGGAGCCACAAACCATGGGTGGGCGTGGCCAACTTGACGTCACTCCCACCCAGTCACATGGCCACGCCTACCCAGGTTTTGTGGCTCCCGGTGTTTTCTGTGGGAAAGGGGTCTCTCCCTCCCTCTCATTTGTGTTTTTTGTGTTTTACCTTTTCAGGCCAGGCAAGGAGTGACTGGGAGGGGAGGGGCCAGCCAGTGGTAGGACCACCCAACAGGGAGCCACAGCAGAGGGTCCAAAGAGCCACATGCAGCTCCAGAGCCACGGGTGGCTGACACCCGGATTAGACCATATAAAGTTCTAAACAATTGTCCCGGATGTTTCATGCATTAAATTAGCAGATTTTAAGTACGTTGGTTCAAAAATCGTTGCCGTGCAATGTACCGTTTGGGCTCTCTTGAGAGCACAAAATGAGAGTTTTAGTGAGATAAGTGGATAACACCCATGCATACATAAAAGTGTGACGGCTGTTGCTATCCACGAGGTGGCAGTCTTCTCTTAGAAGAAGCTTCCAAACAGCTAGCTCTCCTGTTAAAATGGGAAATGAATGAGGACTAGCCACTTCACTTTTCCCCAATTAGGCTCTGCCGGAGTGAATCTTGTCTGTTTTCCTCTCTCTGGTCCGTAACTCTTCCTTCGTTTGCTGCTTACAGGAAACGACACCTGTTTTTTGTTCTCCATTTCTCCCTCGCTGGCGGTGTTCACCTGCAGCGGCTACAACAACCACTACATGTACCTCAATCACGGGCAGCAGACCATGCCGAATGGACTGGTGAGTAACAAACAGTGGGGCGTCTGAGTTTGCTTTGGCCCCAAGGCTTTGTCCACGATGGCTTGTACAGCCACGTATGCTTTGTGTGAATACTGTCCAAACAGGGGTGTCCAAACTTGGTGACTGGTGGACTCCCAGAATTCCTCAGCCAGCAAGTGGACTTCAACTCCCAGAATTCCTCAGCCAGCATGTGGACTTCCAACTCCCAGAATTCCTTTCCCAGCATGGCTGGCTGAGGAATTCTGGGAATTGAAGTCCCCAAGTCGTAAAGTTACCATGGTTGGAGACTCCTGAGTCAAAAGACACATTCTGGACTTCCTGCAAATGCCAAGCCCTCTCTGCTGTTCGTTGAGGCAGCTGACTTCCAGCGTCCTTGCCGATGTGAGGACAAGGTGCCCAAACTTCCATAAAATCAGCTGTAGCTCACAGAGAGGCTGCTTTAATGAGTAGCAGATGTCAAAAGCGTTTATTCTCAATCCTTTTTGAAGCATATCCAGCTGCAGGAGAGGGCTTTTGCTCCTAGCTCTTTTTAAAAAAATGGATTACAGGTAGTTCCCAAGTTACAATCTTTCATTTAGTGGCCAGAGTTACAATGGCATTGAAAGAGGTGACTTATGAGCCAAACTCACTTAACGGTCTTACTTAGCAACAGAAATTTTGGGCTCAACTGTGGTCGTAAGTCAAGGACTACCTGTAATCCTTGCAGGTGTGTCTGTTGGTTGGAGGTTCATTCTTGCATCCTCTTTAACTTTTTCCAATACAAACATGATCACATGCCTGCATATTTTTTTTTTTCCTTCCAGGGTATGGGAGGCCAACACGAATACTTTGGCCTCTGGGTGGACAGTAACTTTGGCCAAGGCCACAGCAAAGCCAAACCTCGTTGTACCACCTACAACAGCCCTCAGCTGTCGGCCAAGGAGAACTTCCTGCTGGATTCCATGGAGGTGTGGGCTGTGGGAGAGCCCCCGGAAGCCAAAAATGTAAGTCTCACCACACCCAGCACAACCACCTTAGGTGGTGATATAAACTTCCTGTTTGGGTCAGGAGTTGGCTGCTCCCTAGTAGGGCATGAAATCCCATCAGTCAAAAGTTGGTTTAAGCTTCTCGTTTGCGCCTGGGGGGGGGGAAGCCAAAGGGGTCCTGCAGCAGAAGATGGAAAAGATCCCCAAGGTTGGGTTGCATGGAAGTCAACCAAGCACATGACCAAGCTAGAAGGAGAAGACGGGGGAGGGGAAATGGGGTCTTTGGAGCTCTGTGGTGTCCTTGGTGCCTCTGGTGGCCCGCGGGAGAGAAACAGGATGAACAGAGGGCAGAATGATTGACAGGGAATGGAGGAAGTAGACATCAGAGAGGCCTCCTCAAGCATGTCTGACTTCAGCTGCTTTTGATGGGATTGTGGTTGCAAGGAGGATGTAAGCGCCAATTGGATTTTTTCCAGGATGAACGCAACTCTTGCACATCCTAGGTTAGGGGACAAAATTTTGGCCAACAACAACGAGGATTTATTTACGTTCTGCTCCCCCATCAGAATGGATTTAAAGGCCTGGAACATCCTGGTTGTTTTCTATTTTCCTTCTAACCAGGTCTATCCCTGTTTAACTGCCTCCTAATTAGGCACCGATACTAGATTAAAGTGTTAGATTGTGGTTTAACACTTTGGGTATATCTAAACCTTGGCTCCTGGAGCGAACCAGACTATCAGCTTCAGTTATCGCATGGTTGACCTGCTTGGCCCTTTGAGGTGTTTTGTTAACCTGGGCTTAGCAATGCTGTGCATATTCAGTTTCTTCCCATCCGTGGAGCTCGACTCCTAGCAAGGCAGATAGGTTCATACCGGATATCGACTCTTAAATTCTCAGGTATTCGGTTTCTAAGATCTTAACGCAAGCGGGAGCCTTTGTTTATCTCGATCTGCATTTTCTCTTTCTTTTGAACAACTTGAATAATAAAAAAACCCAACGACCCAGTGCTCTTGGATTCCTTCCTCCCCCGTGGCGCCCCAGCTCCAAGAGACTTACCGCTTAAAAACGGACGTAAATTTGCTTTCTCTGGCAGCTGTGTCACTGACCAAACCGGTTTCACCGATCTGGTCAAAGCAGAACCTTTCCACGTTTGCCAAGCACTAGGACAGGCAAGGAATCCAGCCCAACTTTCTTGGCTCTGGTTTCAGGGTCAAAGTCGGTCAGAGCTGATTACAGCCCAGATCTGCCCACCTTCAGCTGTGGTTGTTGTTCTTGTTTGTATTATTCCAACCTCTCTTCTGGGTTTGGCTTTAGGGAAGAGGCCCAAAGAGCATCTTAGACGCTGATCCAGAGGCCCAAGCTTTGCTAGAGATGATGGGGAAAAGCCGCCAGAGTGATGGGTTTCGGAAACCACCTGAGGATGATGATGATGAAGAAGACAACAACTGAGATCCCAAGTCTGACCAGGATTTTGTTGGACCATCTTCTGAGCTTTCTATTTTCCACACATCAGTATCCGTTCTCCATCTCTTAAGCGTGTTGAGCTTCGGTTAAATAACAATTGGTGTCTTTACAAACTTTGGACGTATGATCTGCAGTTTTTTCTCCCTCCCCCAGGGATTGGGCGTGTATTGTTCTAAAGTCAGGACCTCCTTTTTCTTCTTTCCACATTATTCACATTTATTTGGGGTGCAAGCCCACCCAAGGGGACTTCCAGATTTCTGGCGGAAAAATATTCCTTGGAGGGACCCCACTTCGCTAGCAAGAGTTCTCGAAACTCAATGTCTTTCCATGTAAAACGATCCGTATTTTGTTGGGAAAATTTAAGTGCTCCGTAAAAGCATATTTGGGGGTCTGTTGAGGTGCAATATCCGGAAATCAGGATTTCATATCTGAATTAATCGCACCGATATAAACAATTGGATCATGTTCGGCCTGAGTCTTTTTTAGAGACAAATCTTGGCTGTGAATTTTCAACTTCGTGAGGCGTCAACAAAGCAGACTGTTAAATGTGTGAATCCAGCCACTGTTGGGTTTTTTTTTGAATCCTAATTGAACACCAAGATTGCAATACCCCATTCACCCAACCCCAGAAGACACCGAGGCAGACTTTATGAACAAGTGTCTTTATTACATCTTTAAATAAATAAAGGCAGGTAATCCCTCAACTTTGATATCTGTTTGGAAGGGGGACCCAATTGTCAGATGACTAGATGGAATCCAGGCTTCCTTTTAACTTTGCGGGACCGGATGGCTGGTGATCAGAAAACCAGATCAGCCTGGGATAAGAGTCAGGGACCTTCCAAGACTCAAGAAGAGACTCAAGTTACTCCCAGGGGATTTCCGGGATGTGATATTCCCTTTGAACCCAATTGGAGGGCACGGTTCCAAACCATGGCAGGTTAACCAGATAGGAATCATTCACAACCCGATGAGCTAATTCCACTGTGTTGTGAGGCTATATTAGCAGAACCTTTCAAGTCTGAAAATACACGTCTTCTTCCATCTCCTTTACAGCCTGAGAAACTAGGGAGGGTCTCTCCTGAACGTCTTTTTTTCCCAATCCATTATGCAGCTGAGGGCTACTCGGTCTTTTATTTTGACCATTCCTTTGCCCCATGCCCCACGGTCTTTGCCCTCACATCGTTGACACAAGGCGTGCTCTGTTCGTCAGGCCATTTCCAGTGGTTTGTGATCTGCCTTGGACCTGCAACAATATTTCTCGCACACTTTGACCAGTTCCGAGAGGATGAAGACCGAAGACGCTAGGGCGGTGAGGAACAACAGGTCTATGAAGAAAAGGAAATGACAGGGTTACTAAGACGGAAGCAAAACACCCAAGGGGTCATTAGTTGGCAACTGAGGATCCTCTCCGTATTCCGCTTCTATTGAAACTGCATTTTGGAGGACTATTTTCTTACAGTTAATGGGAGCCATAAGGACATTGACATGAAAATAGCTGTCAGGGTTCCGGCAGTTGCCCCCATTTAAATCATGACTTTCGAACCAACTTCCAAAGCTTAAAGAAGATTTATTTGGAGTAAACATGCCGGCGCTACCTGGGTGCAGCTGACTCTGAGATACATCATTCACTGTCACCTTTGACCCTGGTTTTCCCCCCCACCTCCTGGGTGTATCATCATTCATATTCTCCAATGGGACACATCCATAGCCAAGAGTCATCAATCATATTCTCCAGTTAAAATTTTGTGCGGCAGAAACTTTGGTCACCTCGAAACGATCTTTGAAAACATTTATGGAACGGAAGCTGCCCACTGCTCCCCGATCCCTTTCTGTTGGCAACTCTAAAAAGACCCTAGAAGTATTTTATGACATAAAGGGTTGGCAATGAATTTTTTTTTTGCCCCCAGAGGAGGATAATGTATCCCCCGGATCCTCGTGATTTTCACGGTTCACGTTTTTTGAAGGTTGCCATTTAGACTTGTCGGGAAGAAAAGACGTACAATTTTGGAAGCGAGCTGGCTCTCTTCCATTCCCGATGCTGAGAAGCTGAAATTTCTATATAATCTTAAAACCTTTTATTTGGAAAGATTGAAATCCTTCGAAAGGGGAATTCCATGACTTACCCAGCGCTCGTAAATTCTCTGTCTGGAAGATCTTTTGCAGGGGGGGGATGTAAATTACAGCCATTTGACCCAAAATGGAACCCAGCACCGAATATAAGAACATGCGGTTTCGGAAAAGACCGATTTCCAGTATCAGTTTCATCTGGAGGAGAGAAAGGAAGATCAGATCATTCAATAAGTAACTTGGTCTTTTTTTTTTTTTTTTTCCTTCTGGGAGCCCAGTCTGATTTTTTTTTGTTCAAAGTAGATTCTTTTTTTTTTAGCAAATCAGATGATTAATGAAATCAGGTAATCAACAGCAAATCAATGCAACGCCAATGCAGGTATTTTTGAACCAGGTGCTTTTCTTACTATTGTTGGCATCAATAAGAAAGTTCAAGGAGAGAATTTTGAATGAATTTAGCATTTCTCCTGCAAGTGCCAATTTGCTGTTTTGTATTTAGAAAGTGGAAAAAAAGAACCCTTCAGATATCTTAAATGCACAGACATATTTAATGTGCATAGCCTGGCATATGTATCTTAACAAACCGGAATCTGCTTGGTTTACTTCGTTATATGAAGCTAAGCATGCTTGTTTAACTATGGCTTAGTACAATATAGGGCTGCAGTAAATTATGGTTTTCTTAGCAACTGAGTTAAAGCAAACCACGATTTACTGGGGTGCATGAAATTAGCCTTTTAACGTTGTTGTTTTTTGACTGAGACAAAAAATTAGCAGTTCCTTCTTCAAATTCTTTCGAAGGTCCAGTGACGCTTTGTTGAGGGTAGCAAGGTATGAAACCATCAATTTAGTAACTTCTGCTAAATTGTTCCTGCTTTGATTTTAAAGGTCCCCCACCCTCCGTAGCTTATCTTCAATGCTCCAGTCCAGTTTGACTAATGCTTTGCTACAGATTCACCCCAAGAGGTTTATTTCATGCCCAGAAATCTACCTCAAATGACTGGAGAACCACTAAAACAGGAGGCTGTTGGGCTTATTAAAAGAAACAGAACCAGGGAAAAATAAGTAGCTCCAAGAAAGATCTTTCTTTCTCTCCCTCCCTCTCTCTCCCCCTCCTTCTCCTTCCCTCTCTCCCTCTATCTCTGCAAATAATACTCCTTTCCTACTTTTCCAATCAGCAACCTTGAGTTTACCGAAAACAGGGTTATAACCATTGTGCCATAATACAGTAGCATTCCTAACAAAAACAATTGTAGATGATGTTGGAGTCTGACAGGTGAATTTTTTAAAAATGGAATTTTTACTTTAAAGCTGGTTGCACAAATATGTATTTTTGATGCTATAACTTCATAACGTTCAATTTAAGCTTATATGTGTATGTGTATCGACGCACATGCACGATTTTGCACATATATACATTCACGCACACAGTATTTTAGGTTCAGTAAGACTTAGCCACAAGAAAGAAAGGAAAGGAAGCAATCGACTTTGTTTTCCTGGGTCTGGATGGTGGGAGGTCACGGCACAACAATCAGAGGGAAATTGTTCAGTGGGAGTATGTAGTAGCTTCCTGTCTGGATTGAATACCTTGCACGCAGATTATGAACAGAGTATTTCAGCTTCGGCCGGATTTTCGTAACAGCATTAGCGCTTAGTCTGACATACTGCTTCAGGGTGCTTTACAGCCCTCTTTAAGTCAGCCTATTGCCCCCGACAATCTAGGTCCTCATTATACCCATCTCGGAAGGATGGAAGGCTGAGTCAACCTTGGGCCGGTCAGGATCGAACTGCAGAACTGCTGGCAGTCAGCAGTGAGCAAAGTGAGCCTGCAATACTGCATTCTAACCACTGAGCCACACACACAGGGCTAAGCTAAGGGAAGGAGGGCGGTGCAGTTCCTCGCGGCTTCTCTCCCCAAGGAAAACAAAAATTAAGCCGGCTCTTGTTAAAACGTTGCGCACCTTCCTAGTTTGCCAAGCCTTTCCTTTCTCAATGGGCTCTGCTGAATTAAGCTTCCACTCTCACCTGAGAACGACAGGTCAGGGCATTGAAGAGGTCAAAGAAAACAAAGCAAGTGAAAGTCATTGTTGTCGTCCGGGGCGTTATGCCACTTTCCGGAAGCTGGAAAGGCAAGGTGGAAAAAAAGTGTCTTTGAAAAAGAGGAGGGGGAAGAGGAGAAATCGAGTGTCAGCATAACATATCAAAGCCCCTCCCACCTCACAATGAGCCTTTTGTCGACAAAGTCACAATCACCTTGAAAACGGGTTGCCCTTCTTTTGAAAGAAAGATCTGGAAGGAAGGCAGTCGTGCCAAACCATATAAATATCACGGGCTTAAATCTGCACCTGTTGACAGACAAGCCACCAGCAGGTTGATGAAAGCCTAAAATGCCCCAAAATGTGCCCAATTTTGCCCCTCTGTGCAATTTCCACCTGCAAAAAGTGCCAATGTTGCTTTTTTTAAAAAGGCAACTAGACTTAATTTGCTTTTTTTTTTCCTCTTGAAGATGTTTCCCTTTCTTGTCCGAGAAGCATCTTCAGTTCTGACCGAATGGTGGATTTCTCTTCCTTGCAGTCATCTGGTCGTTGGCACTCTGAGAGTCACTGAGATTTATGTGCGCCCTCGGGGTCACCTGAAGAGTGCCAAACAGATGTAGGGCCTATTTGGAACTGCTGAAACATCATCTAGGAAAACCTAGAGGTGCTTTTTCCAAAGGCAACTGGACTTCCTTCATTTTTGCTTGAAAAACGTTTCGCTTCTCATCCATGAGGCTTCTTCAGTTCTGAAGAAGCTTCTTGGATGAGAAGCGAAACGTCTTCAAGGAAAAAAAACAAAACCCAAGGAAGTCCAGTTGCCTTTGGAGAAAGCACCTTTGGGACAACCCTGATCTAGATGACTGAGAATCTTCATAAGACACCTGCATCTTACATCTTTACTGAGAAAACCTTTTGCATGTCTTCAAAAGAAAAAAAAAAAGCTGATCTGGAGTTTCCAATTCAACCAATTGAAGAATGCATTCCTCATCCAGAATGCAAATCCTGAGCCAAGCAGCCAAGACTCCTTCTCTGAGTTGGTTGCATCAAAGGCGGAAAAAAGTCACAAAAGGGTGATGGAACCAGGAAGGGTCTTAGGATGATCTACCTACAATCTCACCTCCTTCCAGAAGACGTAGATGGTCCCTATGATGATAACGGTTGCCGAAAGGATAATTTTTAGGATCAGGGACTTGCTGAGAATTGTATCCGTGGTGTTTCTTGGAGGTTTTTTGATGGCATCTTTGTCTACTGGTTCAACCCCCAAACTATATAATAAAGATGATAATTATAATAACAACAACAACAATAATAATGACATTATTTTATAAACAACAGACTAACTGGTTATTTATATTTACTATGGAA